CTGCGATGTATGAGCCAAAAGAAGGTGGAAAGACATAAAAAAAGCCTAAACCTTCTAAACCTGAAATAAATTAAATAAAAAATTGGCATTGATGCGTCGTGTTATATGTATTATTTAAATAAAAAAAAATTTTTTTATGCGTAAATTCAGGTTCAACACCTGTAATTTAAATGCTGTCTTTGTTGATGATGATGATGATTTTTCGTTATGTTCCCGATATTGCTGGATATTTTCCCTCCATTTTTTCTCCAGTTTTCTTTCTCTCTCTCTCTCTCTCTCTCTCTCTCACTGTGTGTCTCGCTACTGGTGCCACTACTCTTTTTCTGGATTTATGAAATACGGGGAGAAATAATTGATAAGAAAAAAAAAATTTTTTGTCCAATATTATTCGATTCCCGAAAAAAAAAAAAAAAAAAATTTCTGGATCCGCCACGTGTTTCTCTCTCTCAAAAAAAAAAATTGTAAACCTTAATTAATTTTCTTTTTTCCTCTTTCTTTTCTTTTCTTTTGTTTTTGTGTTGCAAAACAATTTTGTTTCTGTTTTGTTGTTTTTTTAATTTTAATAAATGAAAACGTGGTTTTTTACATGTGAACCCTATGATAATTATGTCTCAAAGTCGTAAAAAAAAAAAAAAATGTATCGAAGGCAACCCAAACAAACAAACAAACGAGAGAGAAAAAAAATAATAATAATGGTTTTAAACGATGTTGCTAATAATTCGTTTAAAAAAAAAAAAAATTGTTCTTGTTGTTGTTGGAAGTTTCTAGAAATTTTTTTTTTTTTTTTTAAACAAATTTTTCATTTTTAATCTGTTTTTTTTTTTTTTTTAAATTTAACTCTTTGATATTATTATCATTATTATTCGTTCGGCAATTTTTTATTTTTTTCAAATGCACACAATAGATTATTATTATTATTATTCGTTTCGCATATTTTTCTTTAAAGGTAACCTTTTTTTTTTTTTTTTTTTTAATGAATTGATTCTTGTTTGTAGTACTTTATGAGTTGTATTAGAAATAATCGTTGAAGTTATGGTTGTACAGACAAATCAATGAATCTCATTCATCATAATCATCATCATTATCGTCGATGTTGAAAGTTCTGGTTTCGACCCAACCCTATTTCATCAGGTCTAAATAAAAATCAATCAATTTTCGAACCTAAGGTTTCCAAATTTGTATTTTTTCCTTTTTTTTTTTATTTTGCAAAGTTGTCACACTGCATGATGATGAATCGGTCGGTAAAGTAAACAAAAAAAAAGTTGTTGTATTTGGCAATGGCAGCTGGTGTTTTGCTCGTGTTTTGTTTGTAGTTTATTATGCCTTAACATTGTCGCCATTTTTAATTTTTTTTTTTTTTTAATATCAAATGTTTAAAATATAATTTTTACGTTTCAATAACCGAAAAAAAAATCGCGTTTTTAAAAACGTTTTTGACACTTTTTTTTTGTCGGCCATTTTTCGATGACGTCTTACGAGACTTTTATATTTTTCCAATTTTTTTTTTTTTTTTAAAATCGTTTTCACGAAGCAAAAAAAAAAAAAAGAATAAAAAGAAAAAAAAGTGCAATGATCTGACGAGTCGTAAAAATATTATATTTATGTTTATATATATTTAAATGTTTTTAAAAAAAAAAATTTAAAATAAAATAAAAATAAAAAAATGGAAAAAATTTCCCGTTGGGATTCTCTCCAGGCGTCAGTTTTATTTGTTCAATAATGTTGTCGTCGCTGTTTCTCTCTCTCTCTCTTTCTCTCTCTCCTTTATCTATTCCCGCGAATACCACTTTTTCTCCAAACGAGGGGAAGGGGGGGAAAACAGGAGACCTTCAAATTCTTCAAGTATCGAATTGAAATAAAAAAAAAAAATGTCTTCAAGTGTTTGTTGAGATTCGACGTTTAACACATTTTTTAATTAATTGGAGAAAAAAGAAAAAAAAAAACGCGCGAAAATTCAAAACTTGTTCAAAATTTTTCATCATCGAAACGTTAAACAGGAAAATTATTAATTTCGTCGAACTCGAAATAAAAAAAAAAAATAAATAAATACATAAATAATTTATTTGCTTGACTCTTTCGACATTTATACATTTTAAATTTGACAGGTTTTCTTTTCTTTTTCTAAGGTTTAAGGCATAAACCTAAACATTTTATAAAAAAAAAAAATAAAACAAGTTTTTTTCCTTTCGTGTAAAAATAAACTAATGACGAGTTTAAAAAAAATAAATTGTTTAAAAACTTCAAACATGGGCTACTAGTTATTATTATTATTATTATTTTTTTTTTTTGTTAAAGTTAATTGACTTTATTTTTTATTGCCATTTTTATTTTTTTTTCATTATTTATAATTATATGTATTTTTTTTTTTTTACATAAGTTATTGATTAATCAATATTTAATACCTATAATTTTTTGGTAGAAACCATGTTTTTATTTGTATCACGTGGTTTTTTTTTTTTAACACGTGGTTTTAATTTTCATTACGAGAATTATATTAAATCGATACGAATAATAATAATGAAGAAATAAGTTTATGCAATAAATGAAAAAAAAAAAAAAATGCGAGGGAGTAAAAATAATTAATTAATTGCGTCGGAATTATCTAGAACGATAATTAATTAAAATAAAATGGTTTTAATAAATTTCCGTTATTTCGAATGGAATCCATACATAATCTCTCATAAATCAATTTTATTATCATTTGTTATGCAAACAAAGACAGATTGTTGTTAAAAAAAAAAAAAAAAAAAAAGGGAATCGCGAGTCGATAGATGAATTTATTTAAACAATTTTTTTTTTTTTATTTATCGAATAAATAAAACCTGTTTTAATAATTTTATTGATTTCGTATCGATTTTCAATAATTCAAAAAAAAAGCTTTAATTAATTAATATTAATCTTATGTAAAAATGATTTTTGCGCAACGACGAAAACGAAAGCGGAGGAAAAATATAAATAAATAAAATTTTTTTAACGGAAAATTGTTGAGGTTTTTCCTTCCCCTCCCCCCTCCCCCAAAAAAACCGAAGGAAAAAAAAAACGTCATAGTTTTATTATGAAAACAAACAAACAAACGAACAAAAACGATTTAATGAATTTATTTTCACAATGTGACAATAATAATAATAATAATATTAAATAATTAATTGAAAGGATTGTTTGCGTGTGTGCGTGTGCGTACGACGAAGGTCTTTGATCCGCCCATTCCTTGTTTTTTTTTTTTTTTAATAATGTTTTATTATTTGCTTATGTACCTTAATTTTGTGTGTGAAAAAGTTTTCCATATTTAAAGTAACGCCCATTTTCAATTTTTTTTTTCTCCCTCTCCTTTTTTTTCCTTTTTTTTTCCCTCAAAGGAAAATTTTTTTTATTTAAAGGGAATATTATATAAACAATTTATTTAATTTTTTTTTGTATTATATACATTTAAATTATTCGTTTGTTTTAAAAGGTTTGTTGTTGCACTCATTTATTCATCATATATATATTTCTAATTGGATTTAGTTGTTGTTTTGAAACAGACGCCATTTTTTTTTTTTTTTGTTAATTGCAAAATTAAAAGAAAAACGAGTTTTAAACTTTTCAAGTCTGATTTTTTTTATTTTCTTTCTTTCGGGCGTTAATCAAGTTTGTTTTTATTAAATTAATTTTATTTATTTATTTATTTATTTATTTGCATTGTCGATTTTAATTTTTTTTTTCACAAATCAAATATTTATTGTAAAATACAATGAGCGTGAGGGAGGGGAAGAGAGGGGGGTAGAGGTAGAGGTAGGGAGAGAGAGAGGGAAAAAAAAGGAAATTTAAATGCAATAAAATCTTTTGTCATCAAAACCAATCAAGTGTGGCATCATCGTCGTGGCATTATGGCCTCTGGCAATAAACTATTTCCGTTAATTTTTGATTAACTTTCAGACGGAATCTGTGAGTTGGCATGTGGTGGTTATTGGCCTGGCCTGGCCTCCTCATGTCAGACATATTTTTATTTCTTTTTTTTTAAAATTGTAATTATCCGTTAAAATAAATTTATTTTTATATTTTAGGTTACGAAAAATGGAAATGGAAAAAAATCAAGAGGACATGCAGAAATAAAAGTCTGGAATAATAAAAAAGAAAAAAAAATTTTAAAGTTCGGGGGACAAAAAAAAAGGGGGAAAGGGGGGAATAACTTTGTAAAAACGGGGAGAGAAAAAAAAAAGCTTTTTAAATTTTGAGAAGACAGGAGGAAACGGATCAAGTTTTCGAAAAGAAGAAAAAAAATTGTTGATTGACCCGCTACAGTTTCAGTTGACAGCTTTTGAAGCTTTACTGTATGTGATTTGTTTAAATGTTTTCCTCTTTTTTCATTTCTCCCCCCCATTGAAAAACATTCTATTTCACGATTACCAACATAAACCGTTAAAACAAAAAAAAAAAAAATTTTTTTTATTTAATGTTTGGTTCATCATCACATGTAGTAGTTGTAGGAGAAGAAGAAGAAGGAGGAGGAGGATTTTGTGATTTAATGTTTTTAATGAAAACTATAAATAGGTTTTAATTTAAATTGTGATTGTGACTGTCATTGTGACAAAGTGACATTTGATTGAAAAATTCCAAGGCTGGTTTATTGGTCGTTTTTTGTGCGTGCGTGTAGCAGAAGATGCGAGAAAACAATTAATTAATTTTACTCATTATTATTATTATTATTATTATTTAAAAAGAATTTGTTATAATTGGAAATACTAAAATAAAAACATGGGTAAATTAATAAATACGTAGCTTAAAATAACTTTCTTCTGCCACTTGGAATTTTTTTTTCTAAGTGATTAGTTTACAAAAATAAAAAAAAAAAAAAAATGGCAATAAATTTATTTAAGAGATCTTTTTTCGTTTGGTTATTTATTATTCAAAGCGGTGGATTTTTTTCCAACGCTTTAGAAAAATCACCACCCTCATCAAGTTCCGGATCGTCGGGAACATCTTTTTTTTCCGGTTCAAGATGCGAACAGATATCGATTCCCATGTGTCGTGGAATTGGTTATAATTTAACATCGATGCCAAATGAATTGAATCACGAGTCGCAGGAAGAAGCCGGACTTGAAGTACATCAGTTTTGGCCATTGGTTGAAATCGGATGTTCTCCAGATTTGAAATTTTTTTTATGTTCTATGTATACGCCGATTTGCATTGAAGACTATCATAAACCGTTACCCGCTTGTAGGAGCGTTTGCGAAAGAGCAAGGGAAGGATGTACTCCACTCATGTTACAGTACGGTTTTCCTTGGCCGGAAAGAATGGCATGCGAAAGATTTCCAATACACGATAGCGATCCGGAAAATTTATGCATGGAACAAAGCAACAGAACAGATTCAACGAAATCTCAACAATCCTCATCGGCAACGCATAAACCTCCAAAAAAAAACTCCGGAAAATGCAAGGTGGGAAAAAACGGAAATTCAAAACATTGTCCGCCGGAAGAAACTCAACTCATCACAAAAGACATTCACGGTTCAGATTGCGTATGCAAATGTCGACCACCACTAATCGCAATCTCCCGTGATAGTCCCTATTACAACCGAAGCATATCCGTTGGAAATGTGAACAATTGCGGATTTCCCTGTCACGGAGTGTTTTTTAACCAAGAAGAAAAGGATTTTGCTTCGGTTTGGATCACTTTGTGGTCTAGTTTATGTTGCGTGTTCACATTGATGACTTTAACCACATATTTTATCGATACGGAACGTTTTAAATATCCGGAAAGGCCGATTGTATTTTTATCAGCTTGTTATTTTTTAGTTAGTGTTGGGTATCTAATTAGAGTAGTTTTAGGTCACGAGGAAGTTGCCTGCGAAGCTAAAATGATAAGATATAATGCAACGGGACCAATACCGTGCACCGTCGTTTTCCTATTAGTATACTTTTTTGGAATGGCCTCGTCCATCTGGTGGGTCGTGCTATCGTTTACGTGGTTCCTCGCCGCCGGATTAAAATGGGGCAACGAAGCCATAGCAGGGTATTCACAGTATTTTCATTTGGCAGCTTGGCTTATACCGACGGTTAAGTCTATCGCTGTTTTAGTCATGAACGCCGTAGACGGTGATCCCGTCGCGGGGATTTGCTACGTAGGCAATCAAAACTCGGATAATCTTAGGGGTTTTGTATTAGTGCCGTTACTAGTTTATTTATTATTAGGTACGTCGTTTCTTTTAGGAGGATTCGTTTCTTTATTTCGGATTCGAAGAGTGATAAAACAACAGGGTGGCGTTAGCGGGAGGAGTAAAGCGGACAAATTAGAAAAACTAATGATACGTATTGGTATATTTAGCGTTTTGTATACGGTTCCGGCGACAATAGTGATCGGTTGCCACATATACGAAAGTACATTTTATACAAATTGGATGAGCCAATTAGTGTGTCCGTGCAGTGAACCGAGTCGCGAGACGGCGCTTTCATTCGGCTTAAGAACGAGACTGAGGCCGATGTATTGGATTTTAATGTTAAAATATTTCATGGCGCTTGCGGTCGGTATAACCTCCGGAGTATGGATCTGGTCTGGTAAAACTTTGGATTCTTGGAGAAGATTATCGAGGAGATTGTTCGGAGGTGGAAGAGGACACGGACACGGATCCGCACTAATAAATCCAGTCAAACAAAGAGCTTGCGTCAAACAACAATATCAGGTCAGTTATTATTTATTTAACCATTTTATCATCCCTTCATTTGTACTTTTTCTACCCTTAATTCTTATCAAATGATGTATTATTTAATAAAAAAAAAAAACCAATTTCAACTTATTATTGTTTACTCGAGAAGTCGCCGCGTGGATTAGTAATGGGTTTTATTAATAACTTTTTGCAATTGTTTAAAATAATATTAATGATAATAATAATAATAATAATTAACAATAGTAGAAATAGATTCATTCACGGTTGAAAAAATTTTAGTTAGTCTCTCTCAATAAGGAAAAAAAATTTTAAAATAACTTTCGACGAAACTTTGATTTTTAAATCAATCGACTTTTAAAAATTTTAATTATTTTCTTTTGTGATTTTAATCTGTCTCTCTCTGTCTCTTTCTCTCTCTCTCTCGCACACGTACGCATTTTCCGTCTCCGAAATGTGAAAATTTCAAATAGTTTTTTGTAAGCTAAAAAAAAAAAAAAACGAAATTGACGGGAGTAATTAAAAATTAAAAAATTTCATTCATACCCGAGGGTGAATTTCAGGTAAATTTAATTCCCTGAATTTTTGATTGACTTATAAATGCGTGCTGGGAGTGCGTAAGTGCGTGAAGTGCCCTTTCCCCTCCCCCACCTCTCCACTTACAATTCCTCTTTCATCTCCTCGTCATCACCCTCGTCGTCGTCGCCGTCGTTCTTCTTCTCGTTTTTCTCAAAAACCTGAATTGCCATTGCCCAAAGGATTTGTTTTTGTTAGTATTAACAAACAAACAAAAAACGTAATAATAATAATGATGATGATGATGATGATAATATTGATTTATCCGCATATTAAAATAGAGAGGGAATTGCATAAAATGTAGATAATGTCTTTATAACTCATAAATCAAATCGTTTTGATTTTTTTTTTTTTTCCTTTTTATTTCGAATATAATTATTCTAAGGTTCAAAGTTGTTGTTGTTTGTGGGTTAATAATTCATCGGGATATTATCTACCAAATGGGAGGATCCCTGAGGCTGTCAGCTTGGCAAACCACCATCAAATATTATTATTATTATTATTATTATTGTTTGATTGTTCGTTTGTTTGATTTAATGTCTTTTTTTTTCACTCGAATCAATCGTCAATGTCTTTTGTTATTTTATTTTATTTTAAATTTTTGTTTACCGTTATTTTATTTTGTTATTATGCCACACCCGTTTCTGGTAGCAAAATTAAAAGAGATGTGCGTGCGTGCGTGCGTGTGCGTGTACGTGTGCACGTGTGCGCGTTTATTTGGATTTGAAATTAATTGATTTACAATTGAAGTGCGCGCGTGAAATTATTCGTGGCGTATAATTTACAAGTAAATAAAAAAATTTATTTATTTGTTTAATTAAACGAGATAAATTTAGGGCCCCTCGGGGCCCTGATAACGACCCTGTCGGGAATTTTTTTTTTTTTAATTAAATTATTAAAATGCAAAATATAAAATAATTAAAAAAAAAAAAAAAAAAAATTAAATTTTTGATGATTTAAAAAAGGAAAAAAAAAGAAATAAAATAACCATGTATAATAATAATGATGATGATGATAATAATGATGATAATGATGATGATAATAGTGATGATAATGATGATGATTACGATGATGATTTATCGTCTTATTAATTCTAATAAATTAAATTTCCTGCGGGAAATAAATAAATTCCTTATAATTTTTTTTTTTTTTGCTAAGCAGAATGTGAGTTATTTAATTTTTATGCTGCGTACCTGAAAATAAAAATAAAAAAAACCACGAAGAATAACAGGTTTTTTTTTTTTTTTTTTTTTTTTTTAATTATCTGAACATTTTATTTTATTTTATTATTTTTTGTATACGTATTTAATATTCATCTGAACGTGGGACATTTTCATTTTATATTCTGAACAAGTGCGTAGTTTTTTTTATTTAAGAACCCAAATCAATTTAAAAAAAATTTTTTTTTTCTTTTTTTTTTTTTTACTCGTTAAATTTCAACATTGAAATGGTATTATTATTATCATCATCTTCATCATTTTCAATATGGCTGATGTGGTTTTTGTGTTGAGGCTTTTGTCGAGACTTTATTAGTTTGTTTTTTCCCTCTATCTCTCTATCTCTTTCTCTCATGTGAATTATTCATTGTTTTTTTTGATTCAGTAAATAAAAATTATTATTATTATTATTATTATTATTATTATTATTTGACCGTTTGGTTTTTTTTACGTACGAAAAATTATCATTTACAATAAAAAAAAAACTAGATTTTGTTCAAAGAGCGAAAAAAAAAGAAACGTTTCGAAACACTGAAAGACGTTTTACCGAGTAAAATGATTTTTTTTTTTTTTTTTTTTAAAATTTCACCGTTTCAATCGTCATTTTTTTTCTCATAAAAATTTATTATTATTATTATGATTTTATTCCAGAATTGTTTAGAATATTGTCCTCAAGTTCCGGTGCAATCTATGTCTTTACCTCCTCCAAGTTCAACCATGCTCTCCGGGCCTCATATATCCGCAGCACCGGGCAGCATACAATCTGCCAGCCAACACCACATGGCTACTTCTGGCAATTTACACCATCACATACTTAAACAACCGCTTTCTCACGTATGACAGCAGGTAATATTTCTTTTTCTTTTCTTTTCTTTTCTTTCTTCTTTTTTCTTTCTTCCCCCTCCCCCCTCTCGCCTCCTCCTCCTTCTTCTCCCAACGACCGGGGAATCTAAGCTGTTTGAGAGCTGCGTTTTCCATATTTTCTTTTTCTTCTTTGTGGCCTTTCAAGTTTTAAAAAAACAAAAAAATTTTTGTATTATTTTCATTCCTCCTCCCCTTTTCGTCATTTTATGCATCTTTCCCCTCCTCCCTTTTCGTCATTTTATTAGCATCATCATCGTCTGACTTTTTCCTGTTTATTTATCAGACCTTAAAATTAATATTGGAAACAACAATAATAATAATAATAATAATAAATTGAAAAATAATTATATAAATGATAATAATAATAAGTTGAGACTCTTTTTCCCCTTTCCTTCCCTCCCCTCCCCTTCAAATATTAAGATGAAACGATTGTAGTAATGATACATTTTTTTTCTGTTGTTTCAGAGGAGGCAGTCAGAAGAATCAGACTGTATATTTGAAGGGGAATACGAAGGGATAAATGAAAGTTTAACTGTCGTACCTTCTTCAGGTAAAAATCACGTGAAAGGTTTGAGCAATTACGGCCCCATTTAAAAAAAAAATTAAGGGAGGGGGGCGTTGGAAAATTCATCGTCTCAAATTTTGAACTATTTTTTATATTATTGACGTGAGTCTAGTCATTCAATCAAGTCATTCGATTAACCATTCCCTAAATTTTTATCTATTATTATTATTATTATTATTATTATTTATTTTTGTTTTTTTTTTTATTTAAATAATGTTTAAGTCCTTACTTGACTATATACGTTTTAACAACAATGATGCCAAATTCAGTTAAACCTAACAAAAAAAAACAATATTAAACATTTTTCTTAAACTATAATAATAATAATAATAATAATAATAATAATAATAGTGATATTATTAATAATGATAATGATAATAAAAGCGTTGGTTTTTTTTCCTTTTTAATTAATTACAAAAAAAAGACTGATGAATTGTTTTTCTTTTTTTTCCTCTCGATTTTCCAATTAAATGAAAGCGGAAGGAAACACTTTAACCAGATGAGGTTAATGTTTCTTTTCTTTTCTTTTTCTTTTTGTTTTCTTTCTTTCTTTCTTTTGAGACAACAATTCGTGTCAATTTAAAAAAAAAAAAAATGAAAATGAAAACAATAACGAATAAAGAAAATTTAAACGATTTTTTTCTTTTCTTTTTTTTTCGAGAAAAGATTTAAATAATTAATCATCACGTGACTCAAACGCACACGCAAACAAACAGACAAAAAGATTCTCCAGTAATATAAACGTTTGTACTTTTTTTTTGTTTGTTTGTTTGTTTGTAAACTTATTCGAATTCATAAAAAAAAGGGGAAAAAAAAGATGGCGATTGTTTAATAAATTGTTTTAAAACTTTTTAATTTCGGAATCTCATAATTTTAAACTGTTTCCTCTTTCTCTCTCTCCCTCCTCTTATCCCGTCCCTCCCTCCTCAAGATTTAAAAAATGATTGATTTTATTATTATTATTATTATTATTGATATTTTTTGTCGGAGTTTAACAAAATAAAAGTTTTAAGGTTTAATAAGTCAGTCCTCGTTTTTCCTCCTACGCAATCGATTCAGGCACGATGGACGTACGGATGAAATCCTGTTGTTGAATTATGACTGATAACTAAAAATTATTACGTTAAATTTTGTCCATCAATCAAATTTTTTTTTTTTGGTTAAATATTGACTCGAATCGTATCCGCGTCCGTCCTCCTCTTCGTCTTCTGCTGTCATCGTTTAGTCCTTGCGTGCGATAATAAATAAAACATTCAATCATGAGCAGCCATATTTGTCTTTTCCCCCCTTTTTTTTTCGGTCTCGACAAGATATTCAATCAAATGTTTTTTCTTTTTTTAAAGTATTGACACATCGGAATCTTCTGCCACGACCTCCACCACCACCACCATTACCACCCACCCACCTCTTCGATAATTCCACTGTTGACTCCTCTCTTTCTTCTTTTTTATTTTTCCTCCTCCATCCTATCCGGAAAGTTAAAACAAGAAACTTAAAGAATTTTCTCGAACTTTCTTTCACTTTCGACCAACAACGTTCGACGGCGTCATTATTCTATTATTATTATCATTATTCGCGTCATTAAAATAATTTTCAGCTCAGTTTTTTTTTTTTTTCTTTTATTAGAAAATTTGTTTCCACAGAAAAGCAAACAAACAAACGAACAAACAAACGAGCTAATGGACATGTGGATAATAATATAATAATTGTTATTTTGAACTTTAAGGTCGTGTGACTCGTACTATTATTATTATCATTATCATTATCATTATTGTTATTGTTAAACGTTTTCGTCACTTTTTTTCTTTTTTTTTTGAAATTTTATTTTTGATTGAATAAATATATATACAAATAATTTTCTTTTGTTTTTCTTTTATTTTTTATTTTTATAATTTTATTATATATATTGTGTAAATGTTTTATTATTATTATTATTATTATTAATTTAGGGTCAAAAAAATTGAATTTTTATAAGGAACTTTTTATCTCTCTTTTTACTCCGGCACTCATATTTTCTTTTATTATTATTATTATTTTTTTTTTATTAGTAATAAAACAAAACAAAAAAAACAACTAGTAACGGTGCAATTTATTATTATTAATAATTTAATTTAATTTTTTATTTTTATATATATAATAAAAAGAAATTATGATTGATTCAAAATTTTAATTATTATTTGCATGACATTTTTACATTATTATTAATAATAATAAAAAAAGGAAAAAAAGGAATTAAATAAATAATAATTGTGTTACGTTTAATTTAATATTGCATTTATATTGAATTTTTTTTTTCACATATATATATTATTATAAAGTATGTAAACAAATATAAAAAAAAAATTAAATTTGTCGTAATTATACTTATTTTAATAAAAAAAAAAAAAAATTTCAATTTATTTTTTTTTTCTCTCCTTAATCCTCCGTATGATGATGTTTCCTTTAAATTTATATAGGAAAATAAGGTATTGAAATACAACGTTATACTGTTAACGTTAATATAAACGCCTTACATTTTACAGATAGACTTTTTTCATAACAGTCCTTCTTTCGCGGAGGTTCTGGCCGCCGCGAGGGATCGCTCAGATTTAGCAAAGTTAGGAATCGACTCCCTTAGGATCCGTCCGTCCGCGAACGAGGGGAGGGTGTTCGAAATCAAGGGGGAAAACAGGGCGGCCAAGGCGGTGGAGCTGGCCGCGGAGCTTTTGAAGGTCGTGGGGCCAATAGGCGACACGGCGACGTGCCCCGCGAAAAGGGTCGACTTCCGCGTCGAGGGTCTCTTCGAGCCCGCGACGTCGCACGACGTCGCTCTCGCGTTGTCCAGGGCGCGCGGATGTCCTATCTCCGACGTTTTGGTGCGTCCTCCGGTCGGAGGGGGCACACGACTGCGACTGGGGTTCGCGTCCGTTCCCGCGGCCGCCGCGTCCGTCTTCCTCGAGGCGGGCAAGGTGACCGTCGGTTGGGTCAGAGCGCGGGTAGTTCTCACGTCGAAGCGAAAGGCCGTGTGCTTCAGGTGTCTCAATCCAGAGCACCTGGGCGCGTGGTGTCCCAAGTTTGAGGGTAGGGTTGAGGGGGCGCAGGAACGTTGCTTCAGGTGCGGAGGGGCAGGGCACCGGTTTGCATGAACCCCGTTCGTTGTGCGGCGTGCGCGGAGGCCGGCCATCCGGCTAATCACCGGTTGGGCGGTCCTTCGTGTTCGGCGCCTTCGGTCAAGGGAAAAGCCGTCCGTTGGGGTGCTAGGATACAGGGGGGTGCGACGCGGGGAGCTTCTTCGTGCGAGCCGAGAACGAACAGAGTTCGACGTAAACATGGGGAAGTTTCTTCAAGTCAATTTAAATCATTGCAGGGGAGCGCAAAATCTACTGCTCAATCAGGTGGGCGCGTGGGGGGGTCGACGTCGTCATGATTTCGGAACCCTACGTCGTTCCGAAAAGGGGGGAAAGCCGCGACGGTTCTTGGTTCGCATCCGAGGACGGCGCGGTCGCGATACTATTCTCGAACTCGGTCCGGACGCCGAGGCCTCGAGAGCTGTCACGGGGGGAGAGTTTCATTCTGGTCAGATGGGGGAACGCGGTTCTGGTGTCCGCTTACGCGTCGCCGAATCGTCCCGTCGGCCAGTTCGAGAATTTCTTGCACGCGCTCGCGAGGGAGATCGATTGGTTCGGGGGGGATTCCGTCCCACTCTCGTCTGCGACTCCTCAAGGAGTGGTTCAATTCGCGTCATTTCGTCGTGCGAAACAAGAGGGGGGCTAAAACTTGCGTGCAGGCCACCGGCGAATCCGCGATCGATCTCACGGTTTCTTCCGTTGCGGCTTTGCGTGGGTCTCCGGCTGGGAGGTCCTTTCCGATTTCGAGTTCCTGAGCGATCACCACCTACCTGGCGTTCTCGTTCGGGCCTCCTCGGAGTTCAAGAAGGGCTGCCTCTCGGTCCGGCGTTCCTCGCGTCGTTGTTCCGCCCCGGTCGGTCGATGGACAAAGAGCGGCTCGTCGAGTGTCTCGCTGCGGAGTCGTGGCGAAGAGCTAATGCTTCGGGGATTGAGTACGCCAGCGAGATGCCGCGGAGGCTTCAGGACGATTTGCGTCGCCTCTCGGATTCGTGCATGAGAAGGGTCGGTTTGTGATCGAACGAGCGCAAGCGGCCAAAATACTGGTGGACGAACGAGATAGGAGAGTTGTGGAAAGAGTCCTGTCTCGCTCGTCGTCGGTTCCGGGACAGGAGGCGGGAACTTCTCCGCCGAGGGGGAGATTACGAGGAAATCGTGACCGATTCGACTTTGCTTGGGCTTAAAGCGGAGTGGCGGGCGTCGCGGGTTCGGGTTCGTTGAGCGATATGAAGTTCGAAGGAGGAGAATTGGAAGGAGCGAAGTCGACTCGGATCCGCCGGGTTTTCCGTTCCGCATCGTGACAAAGAAGCTGTGGAGTTCGTCGGAACCGCTGAAGGCCGGCATGACGGGGAAGTTCCTGTCCGAAGTTATAGCGGAGCTCTTCCCTCGCATCGTGCCCTACGCGTTTCCTCCGGCGGACTTCGCCTTCGACCGCGATCGCGACCGAGTCACCGAGGGGGAGATTCACATCCTCCTCGACGCGGCCTCCAAGGAGCAGCTCGGCTCCGGGCCCAAACGGCGTGCATTATCGGATCCTCGGCAGGTCTGCCGGGGTGATGTGTTCGCGTCTTTCGTCGCTCTACACCGCGTGTTTCGAAGAGGCGTCGTTTTCGAAGCAGTGGCAGTTAGCGAACCTCGTGCTGCTCGAAAAACCGGGTAGGGACTCGTCGACGCCCGGCGCTTATCGGCCGATTTGCCTTCTCGACGTGGAGGATAAGTTGTTCGAGCGCGTCGTGGCGTCGCGAATAATCGGTCACATGGGGGCGGACGGAGGGAGGAACGACTTCTCTCCGAATCAATACGGCTTCCGGGCGGGCCGTTCGACGATCGACGCGCTCGTTCGAGTCCGTGACGAAATCAAGGAAACTCATCTCCGGGGCGGAGTCGCGATCGCGGTTTCGATAAATGTGAAAAACGCGTTCAATTCCGTACCGTGGTCCGCGATACCGGACGGGCTCGTATCGAAGTCCGTTCCCCATTATCTCGTGTCGATGATAGGGTTCTTTCTCTCGGAGAGGAAGATTTCGTACGAGAAGCCGGACGGAACGACGGAAACGGTGGACGTTTTCTGCGGCGTGCCCCAGGGGTCGGTTCTCGGACCGCTCCTCTGGAATTTTGCCTACGACTGCGTTCTCACCCGGACCGTCCTTCCCGAAGGTTGCTCGCTGTTATGCTACGCAGACGACATCCTGCTCCTCGCGACCGGCCGCGGGTGGGCAGAGGTTCGGGATCATGCGGAAACGGAACTTTGCACGACGATGGAGGTCATCCGCGGCATCGGACTGTGGGTGTCTTTGCCGAAGACGGAAGCTTGCGGATTCCACCGTCCGAGAAATCGGCTTCCCAACGGCCTGGCACTGTCGTCTGGGGGAGTAAGAATCGGAGTGGGGAGGACGCTCGAGTATCTGGGGGTCACCTTCGACTCGGGTCTGACTTTCGGGCAGCACCTCGCGCTCCTTGGACCAAAGATCCAAGCCGCGAGCGCTTCGTTAGGGCGCCTAATACCGAACCTTCGGGGTCCGCGGGCGAGGATAAGGCGATTATACGCGATGGTCGTTCACTCTGTGGCCCTGTACGGAGCACCGGTGTGGGCCGAACGTGGTGGCATCGCGGCCGCTTCGCGAGAGGGCGATCCAACTCCAAAGGGCGTCTCTGAGCAAGGTGGCGACGATGTACAGGGACGTCACGGCGGAGGTGGCTTGCCTTCTGTCGGGGACTCCCCCGCTCGATCTCCTCGCGGTGGAGAGCCTCGTCCTCTATCACGAGCGGGGTTGCGGCGGGCCGAGGAGAGTCCGATTCCGCAGGGAACTTTGCGTTCGCACGGTCCGGTCGTGGCAGGCGCGCTTCGACGACAAACGGAAACGATACGGCGGCGAAATCGTCGTCGCCCTTGGCCCCCGAGTGAAGGACTGGGTGGGGCGGGGTCACGGAGTGTTCGGCTCGTACTTGGTGTGCATCGGCAGAGAGGCGACGACGGAGTGTTGGTTCTGCGGTGCGCCCGAGGACGACGTCGAACGCACGATCGCGGTATTTCCCACGTGGGACGAACACAGGCAGCGGCTGGTCGGAGACATCGGACCCGACTTGTCGATCCGCGGCCTCGTAAATGCGTTGCTTCGCGGACCCCGGGAATGGTCCGCCGTTTCGCGATTTTCGGAAGCGGTTTTACGGGCGAAAGAGGACCGCGAACGCGAATACGAAAAGTCCGGATTTCGACGTCGCATGCTCCGGACAATTAGGATTAAGATTAGGTCTAAGGATAGGTTAGGGTTTAAAAGGAAAATAAATCCCGCTGATGAGGAAGGCGAAGTGGAAGAGATGGCTGAAGGAGAGGTTCTGGACCTTGGTCATTGGCCGAGGGAGAAGAAACGTCGTTGTCGGAACGAGGAGGAGGAGAACGAAGACGAGGATGCAGATGATGACGACGGTGTCTTCGATTGCCGAGGTGCGGCGACGAACGAAAGATTCGAAGAACCGAAGGAGAGAATGTGGTCAACAAACGTGTTCACCTTCTTCTTTAATTTACCCTTAAGCTCAGGTGGTGAAGTTTTAGTCTGAATCCTCCCTCCCGGCCGCATTCTCTGGAAGCAGTCGAGCTTTCCGTCCCTTTCCCCCCAAGCGAAGGACACTCCCGAAAGGGACTGCCGAACGTCCTGAGAGATGCGTTCTCCTCTTCGAGGCGAAGGCGAACGAAGATTAGGGCGGATCTTCCCACAAGAGAATAGTGTGGAACGGTAACGTTCTGGCTTACCGGAGAGGGGAGACTGAAATGTAGGTTCTACTCCCACGAGTGTCTCCCCCCTCTTCACATAAGCCACGCTATTGCGACATGCCCAGGAGTTTTAGTGGGTATTGGTTCCCGGTTAGGCTTTATTCAAATCCATACCGAGTCCCACACTCCCTCCGATAAAAGGAGGGGTAAGTGCGTAACTGCATTTCTCCTGGGTCATCAAAAAAAAAAAAAAAAAAAAAAAAAGGTGATAGATAACATAACGTTATTAAATAAAAAATAAATTAAATAAATATATGTATATATGATTTAGCAATTTTATTTTATTTTTTATTAATATTATTACAATGAAAGCTCTGACAACAAAGTCTGTAATAATGATAATAAATTAATAATAACTTTATGTATATATATTTACCACGTTATAAAACAATTTAAAAATAAATTTATTAGCAAAACAAAAAAAAAAAAAATTATAATATTTTTTTAATCACAGAATAAAAAAAGAGATCACTATTATTATTACATATAATTTCCCATTTTATACTTTCGTTTAATATAAATAAATAAATAAATAAAATTTTTTAATAAATATTTTTTACGATTTATTTCTGTAAATTGTATAAATTTTCTAATGATAATGTACTGAGATTCCCCTTTTTACATTCAACAGTAAGTAAAACTATATATATTCTTTCACCTGGAATTTTAACACGTGGGCTAAAAAATTTTCTTTGCTACCACGTGATAGCTGACTCCTTAATAAGATATTGATGAGAAAAAAATTATTTTCCTACACATTTTAAAGTAATCTTGAATTTCCACAATTCTTTGTTACTCTACAGCAACCATTCGCTATCAAAATATTTTTTCTACATGCTTTTACCATCATTAATAAATTTTCCCAACATTATATAAAACCCTTTTACAGTTGAATATCTTTTAAATAATTTTTTTTTACGTTATTCCTTCTTCTCGTGAAAAAATTCCTCTAAAAAAAAAAAAAAATTTAATAAATTTTCCTTTGAAATTAATATTTAAAAAAAAATATGTTTACCTTCTTCTTCATCGTCTGCATCCATGATATCCGAACAACATATCGAATAACAAATCAAACTAAGAAAACCAAGAGGAAGTCCGAATAAAACAGAAGTAAGTACAGGATTTCCTTGCCACATGTCCATAAGAGAAGTTTTCGCTTCGAAATACAACCTGTACAAACGTACGCACAAAGTGTTACCTCCGAAAACCTAAAAAAAAAAATGAAATTAAAATTGTAGAGGGAAAGAATTTCCTTTTTGCAAATTAAAATTTAATATTTTCTACTTACTGGAGCTGATTGATTGTGTACTTGATCCAAAAACATGATCAATGCTTGAGTCGTTAAACGCGAAGGTTCATCCTGTGGAAAATGATGATGTTGAGTCGTTGAATTAACAACAATTAAATGTGGTAAAGGTAAAATGTCCATTGCTATGGAATTAGCAAGATCAGGACTTCCGACCCAACCGAATTGAAAATGTTTATGATATCTCATACGATGCGATCTTATAACGGATTCAACCATATCACGAAACCTACAAGAAAACGCATTGAAATTATTTTTTACTCAAACTCATGGTTTAGAAAAAGAAACTATTCTTTTTAATACAAACTCAAGCATATCAGCTGGAATTTCTTCAAGTTTGTTTTCCTCCAAAACAACCAACACAAGATATTTATTTATTTGAAAAAATTGATCTAAATTTCCTTTTGTTATTTTTGGAAAAGTTAAAAATCTTTCTTCGTTAACCCAAGTGTGAAGAGAAGAATTGAAATTTTCATTTTCATGATCTCCTTAAAAAACAAACAATTTTTTTTTTCTCACATGATTATTTTATTATATAAGCTAAATAAAAAAAAAAAGTTCTGATACAAATACAAACAAACTCACCTTCATAAAAATAAATAGTATTTTCTTTATATACAAGTATAGCAGGTTCTGTTTTTACGCTGAAATGAGGTTTTGTCAAATGTCGAGATACACAATAGAAAAAACCATAGGGTTGAAATCTTTCAGCCACATTGTAATAAGTTTCCTGGATAAATCGATAAAATATCAATCGGAAATAAATAATTAAAAAAAAAAAAAAAAGAAACTTACCCAAACAGGTCCTTCTATTTCTCCTACATAAACAAAAAATAAATTTTTGACAGCTTTTAAATGACTAATGCTTTCAGATTTTGTTATTTTTTGAACTGGAGGTCCTGAAAGTCTTAAAGCAAAATTTACCATTTCTTCTCTTGTTCTATCACCTTTAAATGTAAATTCTAAATCTTGTTTTATGCTGGAAAAAGTTATAATATTACTCTACTTACTTGAATTTAATAAAAAAAAAAAAAGTACTTTCTCAAGGACTTACAAAATCATGGTGGGATAGCCAGTAACTCCAAATTCTAATGCAGTATTGGTAAACCTTGTACAATCTAATCTTCCAACTCTTATATTTGTACTATGCAAAGATTGAGCTACGTGATTCCAAATAGGCTCAAGTCTTTTGCAATGAGCACACCACGGAGCATAAAACTAAAATTTAATATGACATTTAACTGTGTAAAATTTGAAGAAAGAAAAAAAAAAGCAACATTTTCACATAAAAAAATTTTTACAAATCTTACCATAACGAACCATTGTCCATCTTTACGTATTTCTAAAAGACGATCAGTTAGCTCTAAAACTCTAGAACCCACAGAAAATTGTGGAAATTTAACTGAAATACAAAAAAAAAAAAAATTAATTAATTACACCAACCAATATTTGGTTTGTAAAATTAAAAAAAAAAACAACCAAAGCAACACACACTTACAAAAAAATATTAAAAAAATAAAAGAAGATAAAAAATACTGTTTATATTTCATTTTAAGTTTTACATATATATAATATATATATAACACTTTACATAAAATGATTAGTCATATTTAAATAAATTCAATTTAAAATTAAAAAAAATATTATGTAAAAAATAAAAACGGTTAATGATAAGTAAAGTGGTGTTCATATTTGTTTGGTTATATACTGGGATCGACTGGTAATTTAAGACCCGGAGTTATTTAACAATCAGTGTTACCAACATAAAATTTAATTAACCAATGAAAAAATTTCTAATTATTAATTAGATAAAAACCGAACAAATTTTAACGGTTTTTTCATTTAATTCAATTTATAGTATTTACTTTTAATAGGATCAATCGATTGAAAATCGACGAATTTTACATTACGGTATAAAATCTTTACAAACACTTTATAAGAAAAAACAAAATAATGATAAAAATTACAAGAAATATTCTTTGGACGATATTTTCAGAGGTAAAATAAATTTTTACAAATAATTTTTTTCAGATCGTCGACCTTTAAATAATACTTTGCTTGCAAATTTTATTATTATTATTATTACTATGAATTAAATAAAAACATAATTCTTTTAGGAAAACAATTTATTAACTAACGAAAAAAATTATTACCCCGCAACGATTATTTATTAACATTAAATAAATAATTTTAATTCATTTAATTATTTAAATTATATCAATAAAGAATAGCTAATCAATCAAAACAATTTTAATAAAATATCCACAAAATTTTTATGTATATTTATAAATTTAATAATAATTTATTTATTTATTAAAAGTGATAAAAGGATATTATTTAATAATAACATGAAATTAATTAAAAAGTCATAAAATGTTTACTTATTTATTTATTGAAAGTAAATATATATATATATTTAATTAAATTTTTTTGAGCTCATAATAATAATCAATTGTAAACATGAGTGATTTAATGAATGAATAAATGATAATAATAATATTAAAAAAATTTCCCCCCCCCTCCCCCCAATGTATTATTAATAGAAAACAAAAGAGAGAGAGAGAGACAGAGACAGAGAGACAGAGAAAAAAAAAATAATAATTTTTTTTAGTTGTTGTTCTTTGAAAAACATAACATTATTATTATTATTATTATATCAACTTTATTTATAATAATGATAACAATACTATAAGAATCAGAAAATGGCAAATTTAATAATAATCAATCACAAATATCACAATAATTAAATAATTAAATAAATAAATAAACAACTTTAATTTCACCATTTGTTAAAAAAAAAGAAAAAACCAATAATAATAATAATGATAATAATTACAATTTTATATTTACATAAATGAAACTTAAAAAAAAAAAAAAAAAAAAAATTTACAATATTGTATACACCATCATCATCATCATCATCATCATATATAAATTTAATAAAATAATAATCACAATTTAACTGTTATGTCTTGAATGTTAGTATAATCAAATAATGATAATTAGGAAAAACAAACGAACAAACAAACAAACAAACAAAAGAAATAAAAAAAAAAAAAGTTTCCTGTTGTACACGCACACACGCACACATACACACAATCGGAAATAAATAAATTTAGTACGGGGGATGACAAGAGGGGGGGGTGGTGGTGGGGAAAACAAAAATAAATTCAAAAATTATAATTATTATTATTATTATTTTCTTTTAATGAGCAAAAAAAAAAAAAATGAAAACATAAATTTAATAAAAAAAAAAAACAAATTATTACAAATTTATTAATAAATAAGTAAATTATTATTATTATTAATTGTCAAAAAAATATTTGAAAAAAAAAAAAAAAATTTATTGAAATTATTTCGGTAGGACTCCAAAAAATTATTATTATTATTATTATTATTTATTTAAATAATTAAAATTCGTTATTATTTTTCATTTACATAAATTATTGTTTGTACAAACAAAACGAAACAAACGATTTTGTCAATCATTCATTCATTATCACAGTTAAATAATAATAATAATAATAAATGTCTCGGTGCAAACGAACGAACGAAAAAATTATTTAAATAAATTTTGACGAATCAATAAATAAATTAATTAATTAATGACACGATTTCAATAATGTGAGCATTTTAATAAAAATTATTAATTAATTAATTCATTGCAAATATTCATTCATTCAAAAAAATTTATGTTTTCTTTTTAAATTTCCAAAAAAAAATAATAATAATAATAATAATTAATAAATAAATAAATAAAATTTAATTTTATTATATTCAAAAAAAAAAAAAAAAAAAACCAATAATTAATTTTAATTCGTTACAACAACATTAATGATAATAATAATGATAATATTTGGTCAGTCTTCTAAATAAAAAAAAAAAAAAAATTAAAAAGAATAAAATTTATTCTCTCGCATACATACATACATATATATATTTATTTATACATAAACACGTGTACATAAATTTTTCCCCCTTCCCTCCCCTCCCCCCTCAAAACAAAACTAATAATAATAATAATAAATAAATAAAATTCGACGTTACCGTAAATTTTTTATAAATTTATGTTAATAATAAACGATTTTAATTATTAATTCTTTTGTCATCATCATCATCATCATCATCATTATTATTATTATTATTACAACTCATTTTCTTATTTACATTATTAATAGTGCGAAAGAAAAAAAAAAAAAAGAAAACACGATAACAAAAATTTAAAAAAATTAACAAATGGTGAAAATTAAATATTAAATCTAACATCAATTTATTTATTTATTTATTTATTAATTATTATTTATTATTAATTATTATTAATTATTAGAGTTTGGACGAAAAGAACCAAAAAAAAAAAAAGACGAAAAATTAATTAATTAAAGGGGTCCAGCCCGGAGTTAAAAATAATTTATTTATTTATTATTATTATTATTATTATTATTAATATCTAAAAACTACTCAGTTCGTGATAAGGAATTTACATATACATACATACATACATAAATACATAATAATAAATATATGTAAATATTATTTTTCATATTTTTTAAAACAGTCGCATTTTTATTTATTTATTTATTCATTTAATATATTATTATTATTATCATCATTATTATTATCATTATTATTTTAGTCGACGATTAACAAATACAAATACAAAAAGAAGCGAACAAACGAAAAGGTTTAATAATAATAATAATAATAATTTTTAAATTGTTCAAATTTATATATAAGAAATTTTTCAAACAAACGAAATAAAATAATAATAATAATGATCGATAATTACAATGATTAATAATAATAATAATAAAAGTTATCATCGTGTGATTTAAAAAAAAAAAAAAAATTCTCACGTAAGCGCGTCAACAAAAAAAACAAAAAAATGAAAAACAAAAAAAAATGAACTTTGACCCTGAATGTCGCGTACTGTATAAAAAAAAAAAAAAATTTTTTTTCTTATTTTTTTTTCCCGTACAAAAAAATTATTTTCAAAAATTTTTTTTTTTTTTTTTTAAATTCGTTTAAAGTTAATAGTAATAATAATAATAATAATAAAAAAATAAAACTAAATTGTTGTGTTAGAATAAATTCTGTTTCGATGAAAATTTCAAAAAAAAAAAAAAAAAAAAAAAAAAAAAGAAAATTTATTATTATTGTTTCCGGTTTTTTATTTATTACCTCTGTGATAATAATAATAATAATAGTAATTATGCAAGTGAACGTGTGCACGTGTGTTTGTGTGTATTTTTAAAAAAAAATCCTCGAAAAAAAAAAAAAAAACTTAAGTTAAATATTGATGATAACAATGTTAAGAGATTCATTTACGACAGCAAAAACGACAATTATTATTATTATTATTATTATTATTATTATTATTTATTATTATTATTATTATTAAACTATATCCTATTACGAACGAAAGATTTTTAGGTGTTTTGTGTATTAGTTACCATTTCAAAACCTCCCTTTATAAAAAAAACTAATCCCGATGATGCCAATTTTGTTACCATTGAAAATCCTTTGATTTGTACTAAAACGACATTTTTTCTTTCAATCAATCAATCAATCAATCAGTGAATGAATGATGAGAGGTTTTTAAAATCTACGGTTTTGCCTCCACCGTACGGGGGATTCATAAACGTTTCATCACAATCTCTACGGCTACGGAGGGTTTATTTAATTATTATTACGTAAACAACAACAACAACAACAACGACGACGACGACGACGACGACGACAGAGATGCTGATGGTGATGGCGGCGATGATGACGACGACGACGACGACGAAAAATACGACGAGGACTATATAACTAATACTACAACATTTTCATTTTATATTTTAGCGTTACAAAAGGAAGGATTCGTCCAGGTACATAAAAAAAAAAAATAAAAATTTTCTTTTCTTACATAAAAAATGATATAAATCGGTCATGAGAGATGACATTTGGCAGCATCCCTCATATGCATTTGACATATGCCAACATTCGGACAGTCGTAATTTCCCCCCCTCGTATTGCTTACGTTTTTATTAACGTCTCCTTTTTCCACCTCGTCATGATGATGATGATGATGATCGTTTCCTTTCCCTTTCATCTCTTCCTGCGTTTCTCCTTTCGAACTATTTTTCCCCTGTTTTATTTTCCACGTTTTTATTGGAGATTTTTTATAAGAAGAATTACAATTACCGTTTCCGTTTCCGTTTTCTGACGATGCGTACGAAGAGTTTTGATTGAAAAACAAAAGATTGGGAGATTTGCTTCTCGTCGTCATCATCATCATCATCATTTCTTTCTTCTCCCGGACGTCTTCGCTCTCGTTTTTATTTTTTATTTTTATCGTACCGTTATAAGTCGATTTTAACGTGGACGTATCTGATGAAATCGGCAAGGTTATTTTATCTTTGGAAATCGAACCGCAGGATCGAGCTTTGTACAGACGACCTCGCGTCGACGACGACGACGACGACGACGAGGATGACGACAAACTTGGTAAGGGGATGCATAACTTTTTCGAAACCTGTAAAAAAAAAAAAAAATGTGATGACGTCATTTAAAACGTTTTAGGTACGGTTCGGATTTTCTTTCGGAAAAACATTACCTGGAAATATCGTCCTAAAACTTTCATTTTTTTCCCCGTTTTTTCATTTAAAACTTTGTTTTCTTTTTCGTCGGAATAATTCTTTGGTAACTGTTCGGTGAGTACGGAAGTTTTCATTTGTGTGACACCGTTTCCGCCATTATTATTATTATTATTATTATTGTTGTTGTTGTTGTTTCTTCCTTCTCCGGATAATTTTCTTTTGTGTACTGATAATTTTGTCGAGGATATCGTATTAGACCACGATTGTAAAAATCTTGCCCCTAAACTTTTACCCGATTTATTTTTTTCCGTTGAATTCGAACTAAAACTGTTTGAATTAATTCCTCCATACGATTTCTCCGTTTCACTTTCGTCCTCTCCTTTTAACTTTTCCCGAAACGGATCCCCTGAGTAATTATTATTTTCTATTTCTTGAACTTCCATTATTCTGTTGAGCGACTGACTTTCTCTCAGCCTCGTTTCACCCGCACGCCTTCTATTACGCCTGAAATTTTCACCGTTGCACTGTTTTTGATTTGTTCCTCCGCCGGAACCCTCGCTGCTTTCGGTCGATCTCTTACCCCGACCGTTGCTCCTCGATTCCTTATCGTCGTTATGCGTTCCATCTCCGCTGCTTCCCAAATTTGACGTCGCATTACTTCCTCCCCCGCCGTTGTCACCGGGATCTTGACTGTCGTTCGAGTCGTCGTGCGAATCCCGCCTTTGCTTGTTCTTTTCCATCGATAACTTATGAACACGTTTTTTCCTCGATTCCGAATCGTCGTCGCTCGCATCCGAAGAACTACAGCTCGCCGTACGGGATTTGTGAAATTTACTTCTTCTCTGCTCGTAATTAATTGTTGTAACGCTTTTCCTATTGATCCTATTTTCCCCTGACATTCCCTGACATTCGACGGGAACGCCTTCGAATTCCTTCGTCGATAAATCGGCGTTTCCCGTTCTCGTTGGACTAGGCATTGTTTTATATTTGGGTATACTCAAACCCGCATTGTTCATGTTATTAGAAGTTGGATGTATGGGAATTGTAATGGTCGCCGAATCCTTGAGACTCGTAGTTTCGGTGAATTCTTCCAACAATTTTATATCAGCGGCTATTGGAGTTGATTTTATTTGTTGACTAGATATAATAACATTATTTTCACACTCTTTCCCGTCTTTCCTATTTGATTTTAAATCAAAGTTTGCACATCCGTTTATTCTATTAGAATTGAACGTATTATTTAAATTAGAATTATTTGACCCGTTACAATTATCTAATTTACTACAACATTCCGTAATTACTGTTTTTGTATCTGATTGTATTTTCTGAACGGAAGCCCCTTTCATGTTAAACACTTTTCTAGGTATCGGACTCGGAATGTACTTTGTAGGAATA